GTCAAATTTAACTTACAACGTGAGTTAATGTGAGTCGCCACTGCTCCTACTCAATCATATCGTTATTTTATACTAAAATAATAGTTATATTTGACACTATACGGTGTCAACTTGATACGATATAGTATCAAATTTAATTATCGTTTTAGTAAAATTTAGTAGGAGCAGTAGCGACCCACATTAGGTTAAATTTGACATTATAGATTTAACAGTGTGAGTGGACCATGTATGACTATACGAGTATGTTATGTGAAAACAGTGACTGTGCGTGTGATTTATATACGTGAAAGTACGTGAATTTAAATATGGTGCTACTTTCAAACATGATGGCAAAACAGCCAGTCTAGATATACATAGATGTAACAGAAAACGGCCTACAAATTCCATTAAATTAAGCTATGAGAAAAGATAATAACTAATGATTATAGTAATAATTTTATAATGGTTAATCATATTGGTAAATACAAAATATATGCTGTTCAAACAGTACAATTTAAAATCGCATTGGCGCCATTGCCGCACAACTAGAGTCATTAAATAGACTTTTTCATTGATCTCATGTCAAATCAGTACGTTAGCCATAGATGGAAAATCAATACCGGTTTTATCAACCCACATCAATGGCCGCCGCATACGTTCGAGAGTATTCATTACGCGCACGAGGTTGTTTCGCGTTGTCGGGTATGCAATTGTATCGATAAAACAAAAAACGAGCCCTATCAGCGGTATTGCGCCATTAATGGTCACCCAACCTTCTTTCTTGCTTCTGTTATGCGATAATCCACAGTGGCGGCGTTTAGTTTGTCACGTTATCCCTTTGTATCCATTAGCGGGAAAGGGTAAACTAAGAAATTGTAGCGACTGCGTAATCAGAAAAGTACCATATGCTCTCTGCACGATGCGAGCTGCGACACGTAGATAAGAAAATTTATTTTAAACGAAGGCCAAAGCTCTTTGTTCAAAAGGTTCCTATTCCAGAAAGTCATCGGTCGAGTCGCGATACGAAAGTTTCCTTGTCAATAGAAAGTTTTTAATAAAAAAATAAAAGATAAAAACCAAGATATTTGCAAAGATTTAATGAAAACTTAAACAACTACACAGAAAAGATGGATTTTTTCAAGTATCTAAAAATTTAGCTAGATACAGACCTGAAAATAATTTTGTTGGACCATCAAAATAATTATGTAGGATACTCAACCTGATTGCTAGAATGTAAAAACTTTTCGTAACATCGCTCGTCATGCTTAATATTCCTACGTAATTATTTTGATAGTACAACGAAATTATTTTCAGATCTGCAGCTAAATTTTTAAATATTTCAGTGAAATCGTTCTTTCCGTGCAGACATATGCTAAAATATTTTTGCAAAGAATTCGCATACGACGAAATTTAGAAAATTTAAAAAAACAGCTCCAAATTATCCCTATAAAACGTTTAATATTTATGACAATAATAACAACATATACGATAAGATAAAATGGATGATAATAGCTTATTTGCAATGGATCAGGTATATCTCTTATCACTTTCGCCAAAGAGTATGAGTATCTAGACGTCTGCCGCGCGTCTACGGACGTGAATCATGAAATTTTAACCCTTTACCAATATATTTTCGTGCACTTTATACACGATAAGCGGCGTATAAAAGCGGGGTAAAGCAACAGCCGTTACTCATCGGATGAAGATAACATAATTACGCTTGCATGAACCAGCCGGCATAAATAACAAGTACATGCATTTATGGATACTGCGAATAAGGGAGATCGCGAACTAATCCGCATTACAATGCTACGAGGAGGGAAGAGATTGAGAACACGGGATCGCGCGCGTTCATAAATCTGCTAACATGAGGATAAATTATCCGTTTGGTAATTCGCGCGTCGACGATTCGGCGCACGAAAAGAACGCATTAAATATAACGATCACGAATAAGAAAGAGAATCTTGGTCCACATGCGATTTAGCTGCAATGGAGATAAAAAGAGTACGCTTTTCATTTGATCAAACAGCAAGGTTTTATCAAGTCTCACAATAATACAACGGAAAAAATGCCATATTCCTTTCCACTTCGTAAGTCGTAAATCCTAGACGAGAGTCTCATAAACTTCCGGTTCCCAATAATTCGATGTTCCTCCCGCTGCTGGCTGTCTGTAATATTTTATTCGCCGATACTTCATCGTTTCTGCGAAAGTGCCAAGCGGTAGCGGCTAGGCAGTAAATGTCAAAATGCTCGAGCAGCTTGCCACGATGTAGTCTAAGCGTTGTGCGTGTCGCCGTGCGAGCTCCATTAGGTGAACGCGCGCGAGAGAGGCAGCTCGAGAACGGGAGAGAGGAACAGGAGGCTTGCTACCAGTAGTGCACCTTTGCACTAAGCAATATGCATTCGAACCAGTTGCACCGGGCTGGCGAGGTCGGGGTGAACGCCCAACGACTTTAAAGAGAGCAATGCCGATGCGCCTCGCCCTGTCGGCTCTGCTTCTTGCACCGCCGTCGGCATAAGGGTGCGTTTACACCGATTTCGCTAGTTAGATCCACTTCGATTTTGATGGATTATGGCGTTTTTGCATCAAAATTATATCGTGTCCAAAGATACAAATCAAGTATAGAAAATGCCGCGGAATCAATTTTGAAATTTTTTTATTAAAATAAACATCACAGAAAAATTTAGATTAAAATAAATCTATGGTAATTTAATTCTAATTTATTATTTTTCAAAAACAATTGTTGCGTTCACGCATATCTATAGAGATGTAACACCAACATGATAAATCTTGTGCAGTCACTTCGAAAAACGTCTAAAAATGAAATCGATCAATATATATACCTATATATCGATATATATATGTATGTATATATATATATATATATATTTACAAATTGTTTAAAAACCGAATTTCTGATTGCTGTTTAATTTTATTACACTCGAATAGAAACATTTCTGTATTACAGAATAGGTACGCGTATATGCACGTAATGCCCCAAACATGCGTGTATATCTCGCGTTCTTTTACCTATACAAAGATTTATTATTTTTCAAATTTAATTATTGGTAAATCTATTTTTTATAACACAAACGATATGATACACATACATATGTATGTACATCACATCAATAGCTAACGAAACAGTTTGCCTCACTCACACAAGAGATAAACGAACTGTCAAGTTTCCAGGCAGGTGGCGATAAAGCGGATTATGGAGGACGTGTCGATGGATCGGGGCATTACGTACGGCCACACTTCGCGGCTGACTGGTCAGTGAGAATGCGCCCTAACGCGTTGCATCCGATTCATCTCCCGGAGGCCAGAGACACACATCGAGAGCATGAGATACGATTCGCGGCGCATCCGGACCGATGGCGAGATTAACGGAAGATATCAGCGATGAGTGCGCGCTTTAATCAACGAAATTGGTGAGTGCATAAGGCCCACGATGAAGCACATTCCGGACAAACAAGAGAGAGGGGAGAATATACGAGAGAGCATCAGAGGGACATGCGAGAAGGCGAAAACGTTGCCGATATATTCTACCCAAAAGATCCTGCCACCGTGGCGTTTTTATGCGAACGTGTACTTTACAAAATAAAGGAATACGAACGTGGAAAGCGCGATAGCAAAGGTGGATAAGAACGCAAAGAAACGGACGCAATATAACGGCGTACGACGTTGATGATATCGGTAACCACGCCGACGCACCGCAGGTACTGGTGGAGGAAGGAAGAGAGATGAAATGACGATAGTTAGATTCAGGTACGCGAAGAGAGATAATGAGAGGTGATAGCATGAAGCTGTATGAAACAGTTACTGTTGAATCAGTTGAGCGGAAGCTGCGTACCGTTCTCTTTAATAAAATTCCGATTTTAAATTGAATCTCGTAGGTGAAACGTCATGGCTATAAATATAATTCGTACGCACGCGTGTTATCCGTTAAAAAATTTAACGTCAGCCGTAAATCTTTTCCCAATGATACAGTTGTTCGAATGCAATGAACCGTAAACGTTTAAATCAAGAGCGACCTATTAGAGATCGATAGATTGTTATTCGACAGCGAGTAGTGAATGTAAGGCGGAAAATGCGGAGCAGGATGTCCATAGGTGCAGTAGACTTCGTTACCATATCGGTTTAGTTGATAAAAACATGTTCTCTGATAACGTTGTGACTAGCAACGTTTTACCTGTTGACAATGAATGATAATTAAACTAATCAACGATTCGCTATTACAACGTGAATTACATTACTAATTAGCAATTCAATCTCCTACCGTTATCTTGAAACTTTTTACAATTATTATCTATGTTCGTTACGTGTACGTTTCAGAATCAATTTAAGATCTAAAGTTAAGCTACTACATACATATACTATCCATGATAACTGCAATGTGTAAATTAAGATTTATTGCAATCTCATCATTATGAATTATTAAGAAATTCCAAGGCCGTTATGAATTCCTTCCCTTTGCATCGAGACGAAATTTCATAGCCCGGCAATGGAGCCAATCTAATTCCACATAAAGTCCCGGAGGAAGCGAATTCCTCAGGCCGCTTGATAGGCCCCTCGATAAATGCCCCGTGCTGCAGCCGTATGAAGATGCACGAGCGCAGGTATGAAAAAAGATTCACTTTTCGGGCGTCGATAAACTTCGGTCCACCGCGCGCAACACGACATCGCGCGAGACAGAACGGGACGGGACGGGA